ATTTACGGTGTTGTATTGTTTATTTGTCTTGTTTGTATTTTAAATTTACTGTGATATTTGTGCTAACGTTGTTCCTTAGTTTCTTTCAGTTTTCCCATTCTGCACCTCTTTTCGAACACCCTCTTTGGTACCTCTCCACTACCTGTATTTATATACCTGATTTTAGGCTTCCGTCCTTCTTAAAAGCGGCTTTTCCAAGATATAACAGCACGAGCTCTGACTGACCAATTTTTACTGTCCAGGTTTTGTAAAGTTAAAGTACTGAGTATGTTTTAAAGAGTTATTACAGACACTGACTTCTCTGTTTTGTTAATTATACGGTCCTGGGATAACTTTGTTATTTCAACATATTTTAAAATTTAGTTTATTCGTTTGAATGTTCGTTCGTTTGTATAGTTTGTATGTTTCATAAATATTATTGTGAGTAGTATTAATTGAAAGTATCGGCTCTAGTATTGTCGTATTTAGTTTCAATATGATTCTAAACTGTAAAGTAACTATGTAAGTAAAGTTACTGTGTGTAAGTGTAAGTTACATGTAAAATAATGTAATTATTGCGAAAAAGCATTTAATACAAGTTCTGTAGTGTAGCGCTGTGATGTTGACCCCATTATTATTCCATTTTCGTGTATGGTGGGTTATGTGGGTTATAACTTGTATGTAGCTTTGAGTATTCAACTGTGTAACTTAATGTGTTTACAATTGTTGTATTATGTAGGTCCCGTTGAACCTTCTACGTTCTACGTCGTTTTGTGTGTGGTGTCAGTGTATGGTGCACATAGTATGATGTGATGTAGAAACTTACCGTTGTGTGGACAGACAAGAGCCAGAATACTATGTACAATAAGTTTTCTATATAAATGTGAAAACGTTCTTTGAGTTTTTCATTATTTGGAGATCACTAGGGAAAGAATCCGCAACAATAATGTCACAGTGTTTGTACACACATTTTAATGATTAACAAAATTTTCCTTAATTTTTCACTTCAAAATAGCATAAGTACCTATAGCTGACCACCAACAAGTGGCATTTGCCTTAATTTTGCCATTATGCATGCATCAGAATTCAATTCGAATTAGCTTCGCTTAGCGTTCACACAGAGCTAATGCAAAGTAATTTTATGCGCAGTAAACTAACTAGTTTGCATTAGATTCTCCGTGTGAACGCTAAGCGAAGCAAATTCGCAGTAACTTAACGTTTAATTCGAATTAAACTTTCTATGTGAACAGGGCATAAAATAACAGAAGGACTCCCATGCCAAACTCAATTTTAATAGTCCTCGCCCACTGACGTCAAACACAAAGGCAGCTGCACAAGATTTACATGCATATTTGACCTCCATAGCGTCAAATACAGAGACAGATGCACACAAGATTTGCATGCACATAAGGCTCTTCTTTAGCTCTTTACCTATCGACATGCCTAATTTAAATTCCAGTAGATCTATGAAAATATCAACTCTGTTAACTTCCAAAGAGACATCACAGAGGAAAAAAAATTGAAATGGAAATATTCTCTACTGAAGTCTATGTCTTGCTCAAAATTAATATTTAATGGATTGAGCATGGGAAGCAGTGACATTGGCCAGAAATTATAAAAAAAAAAAACAAACATTTTGTAATTCAAAGTGAAGCAATTAAGTAGTAGTAAAACTAGTATTTTTCATAACCATTTATGCCATACTTGCAATAGAAAATAGAATTATTTGATTTGCATATTTATTATATTTTATCCTAATATTCTTCTAGGCAGTTAAAAGCCTGCAGACTGCTGAGTCCACAATTGAGACTTTGAACCAGCAGCTTGCTGAGTTGGGGGCATCAGACAGTCTCAACAGAGCCCGAGTTGAACATGAGCAAGTTTTGTTAGGAGTTCAGCAGAAACATGACAAGGAGGTCAAAGTCCTCAAAGAAAAGATTGAAGAACTCACAGATAAACTCTGTGGTGATTTGGTTGTTATTTTACTTCTGTTAAATTTCATCTCTTTCCATCAATCCATGATAAAGAAGAATCTTTTTGTAAGAAAGACAACTCAGAAATTTTATAAAAACAGCTTGTTATAAAATATTTTTTTGTTATAAGATACTCTGGCTCTGTTATGATTTTTACACATATTCAATGAGCAGCGCTAAGGCTATAAAAATATATTATCTTGGTTCTCAGTCCCTCCCTCATCTCTTTTAAGGGTGCCTCATTGACCCTTTTTATTGCTAAATCAATAAAATAAAAACAACAAATCACCTCCCTCATCATTTTTGACAGTTTTGGACAATGTAAAAAGCTGCCTCATCATGTTTTCGTGGGCAATAATTTTTTTTTTTAAAATGCATCCCTCCCTCATCATATTTCTTGAAAAAAGGCCTGAGAACCAAGGAATTAATTTTACATGGCCTAAGTATTTAATAAAAAATATCATTAAGTTGTTTCTGCCTTAGAATATTTGAGGTTTCTTTGTACAGATTTTTCTGGACTGAATCGATCTCTAGGGCCTATATACAAATGTACTATATGGAAAACTCTTTAGCCTACCTGGAATAAAGCATCGTCGAGTTGAATTTTTTTGATTGAAATTTCTTCAGTAGTGTTTTGTCATTAATAATTCAAAATCACAAAGAAAATGGAGGGTCATTGGATATCTTATGACGCAATACTGCAATTAACTTGAACTTTTTGTACTCAAATTATAATAATTAGGTTAATGCAGGGGTTTTAATTTTCCCTTAAAATTCACTGGTCCAAGGCTTATAAAGCTAGTAAATTTCACTAGTCCATATCATAAAATTACTAGTCCAAAGTTTTAAAAACCATGCTTAGTTTTTATCAATCTTTAATCAATTTGATTACATGCAGCGGGGTTTTTTGTCGGTACTTTTGAACTGGGGGCTTGGGCTTGGGCCCAAAGAATTGGGAATTTCAGCTTCAATATTGCTAAATTAATTGAGGAATCTTCCAGAAAATCCAGTCATTAAAACAGCATTGTCAAAACGCTATGTTTTTTGTCCTTATATAACTTATACAATTGCTATCACAAATCAAGTGTATTCTTGGTATGAATAATCTAATTGCTATTAATTCAAGAACAACAGAATTTTAGTTCATGTTTTTTAGACGTTGTGAACAAACATGCACCACTCAAAGAGCGGAAAATTTTACCAAATCAAGTACCATGCATGAACAAAAATCTGAAGAGAGAAATCTACAAGAAGAAAATGCTCTTTCATAAATTTACTACAATAAAATCAGATAAAAACTGGGAGGCATATTGGAAACAAAGAAATCTAGTTACTAAACTTAAGAATAAGTCGGTAAATAAGTACTTCTTTGAATGATGCACAGGAGTTTTAAAATCTAGTGATTTTTGGCCAACTGTTAAGCCCTTTTAAACAAACAAAGTTTACACCACATTAAGTGACACTATTTTCTCAGAGGAAAATAAACTTATTACCAAACAGTAAGAAGTTAGTGAATTTTTAGCTCACCTGAGCCAAAGGCTCAAGTGAGCTTTTCTGATCAAAATTTGTCCGTTGTCTGTCGTCGTTGTCGTCGTTGTTGTTGTCGTCGTCGTTGTTGTTGTAAACTTTTCACATTTTCATCTTCTTCTCAAGAACCACTGGGCTAATTTCAACCAAACTACAAAGTATCTTTGGGTAAAGGGAATTCAAGTTTGTTCAATTGAAAGGCCATGCCCATTTACAACGCGATATAATTATTAATTAGAGAAAAATTAATGGCATTTTTAAAAAATCTTCTTCTCAAGAACCACTGTGCCAGGAAAGATGAAACTCAAATGGAATCATTCTCAGGTCATATAGATTCAAATTTGTTCAAATCATGACCCCCAGGGGTAGGGTGGGGCCAAAATGGCTGATCAATGTTTTACATAGGAATATATAGGAAAAATCTTTAAAAATCCTCTCCTCAAGAACCACTGGCCCAGGAAAGATGAAACCCATGTGGAATCTTCCTCAGGTAGTGTAGATTAAAGTTTGTTCAAATCATGACCCCCAGGGGTAGGGCGGGGCCAAAATGGCGGATCAAAGTTTTACATAGGAATATTTAGGGAAAATCTTTAAAAATCTTCTTCTTAAGAACCACTGGGCCAGGAAAGATGAAACTCCTGTGGAATCATCCCCAGGTAGTGTAGATTCAAGTTTGTTCACTTGACCCCCAGGGGTAGGTTGGGGTCAAATGGCCTATAAAAGTTTTACATAGGAATATATAAGGAAACCTCTTAAAATCTTCTTCTCAAGCAATGCATAGTGATATTTATAGGGAATCATCCTTAGGTAGTGTAGATTCAAGTTTGTTCAATTCATGACCCCCTCTGGGATAAATTCAAGCCCCCCCCCCCAGTAAACTTTCAGTTCTGATCTGATATGTGCCTTTTCCTAGCCAATTGCTCAGGTGAGCGCTGTGGCCCCTTGGCCTCTTGTTTAATAATTATTTTGAAATTGTTGACAGAGATGTAGGAGAAAATAGTGGGCAAGTAGATTATAAACATCCAAGCATTGCTGCTTTTCAAACAAACTCCAAAATAATCTCTGAAAAATTCTCTTTTACTAATGTAACCGACAATTTTGTTAAGAAAAGGATCAGCAAAACAAGTGTAAAGAATTGATGGTTTATCATCCAAATTACTCCATTAGGCAGAGCCCTTGATAGCAAAACCTATTACAAACATTATTGCTTGTCTTTATCAAGTTCAATTTTCCCCAAGAAGCATACAGAGGAATATTTACGCTTTGTGATTGAAGTAGCTGTTCCAATCGCAATGACCGTATCTGAGCTTGAGAGAGCATCATTGGAGGATGAGGATCTCAAGAACTTGAGAGAATGCTTGATAACAGGGAAATGGTATCAGTTGCAGAACAAAGATCATTTGACAGTAAAATCAGAATTGTATACTGCTGATACTACGAGGGACAAGGATTGTTATACCTAAGTCATTACGGGACCAAGTACTGGCACTAGGTCATGAGGGACATCCCGGAATTGACATCATGAAGCAGCGATTGCGATCCAAAGTTTGGTGGCCTAAAATGGACCAAGGCTTTGAACAGTGGAACAAAGCTTGTTATGGATGCCAGCTAGTATCACAACCTGAAAAAGTGGTACCTATTCACAGAACAGAACTACCATCTCGACCATGGGAACATTTAGCAGCTGATTTCCTAGGACCGTTACCATCGGAAGATTGTTTTACTATCGTCGATTATTATTCACGATGGATTGATCTGGCTGTCATGAGATCTACAACGGCGGAGAAAATGGTCGAAGGGTTGACAAAGATTTACATTACACATAGATTACCTGTTTCTATTACAACAGACAACGGACCACAATTTATCAGCGAATATTTCAAAACATACTGTGAAAAAATTGCATCGTTCATAGGAAGACCACCCCATTGTGGCCACAGGCCAGTGGAGAAATTGAACGTCAGAACAGATCAATATTGAAGAGACTTAAGATCGCACAAGCAGAAAATAAAGACTGGAAATCTGAACTTCAGACTTATTTGCTGATGTATCGCTCATCACCACATACTACAACAGGAGTGAGTCCGGCCGAGTTGTTGTTCCGTCGAGTTATTCGTACAAAACTACCAGATATCCACACATATCGTCAGACAGATTACCGAGATGGAGATAGAGATGCGGAGAAGAAGGCAAAAGGGAAGATATATTCTGAATCTAAAAGAGGAGCTACACTTAATGACATTAAACCTGGAGACCTTGCTTTGATGAATAAGAACAAGGAAAACAAGTTATCTGCGACATATCATAGTAATCCATTCAAAGTTGTCGAGAAAAAATGGAAATATTGTTGTGTTAAAATCCATGGAGGGAGTTCATTACAAAAGAAACGCATCGAATTTGAAAAAGTTTGTGAATTCCAAGGAATCTGTGAAAGTGTCAAGTGAAATGTGAATGTAAATGTGTTAAGTGAAAATTCCATTGGAAAAGAAGATTTGTGTTCAGGGAATTCAGTTCCTAAACAAATTGCAAGCGAGAAAAATGTGATTTCAGAAGATGTCCAGGAAGCGTCACCAGGAAACTCTTCAGCAGAGGAATCCGACAGCAATGCTCAAAATCCGACGACAAGTTCAACGCAATTAAGCCGACCAGTTCGACAACCCTCTTTACCGGTGAAATTCAAGGACTATGTAATGAACTGATATGTTTTGTGTAATCTGTGTTCAAATATAAATTTTCGATGATTGATAAACACTGTAATGATTTATTGACTGTGTTTAAGTTAATTGCTAAATAGATTTGTCCATTTACCATTTATTTGAATAATTGATACTTGTTTAAATGAAAAGGGGGAGGATTGTAGTGTATGATTATTATAGTTTATTATATTTAGTGATCTAAGAAAGATAACTCTGATTTAATGATGTGCTGATTTATCTCCCTTGTAATCAACCGGAAGCTGATGTAATAAAAAGTATGGCTGATTAGTGTTACACACGTGTGTTCAATTCTCAAGATTAAATCCGATAGTTACTATATATGAGACACTACAAATACCAATAACTTTGCCCCTTGAACCTTGACCTTGGTGTTTGACCTACTTTTCAAAAACCCTTACCTTGGCCACAACTTTCGAACAGTAGATTACATGACTTTCATATTTCACATATGTATTATTTGTGGCAAGACCTTTCATTTGATACCAACAACCTTGACTTTTTAACCTTGACCTTGGAAATTTTTGTTCTTATGATAAAACTTTTTCATTGACCATAACTTTTGAATGGTAAGGGCTAGGGCTTTCAGGCACATATGTAATCCTTTTAAGAAGACATTTCATTGGATACCAAGAACGTTATCCCTTTGACCTTGACCTTGGAGTTCAGTGATCATTACTAAATAGATGTCTTATGATAGGGCGTTCATATTAGACACAAAAAAATGACATCTCTACCCAAAAGACACCGAACGCGGGGGACCACAATTCTTTGAATTTGCTTGTCCTATTCATAATTGTTTATTTCGGTAATCGCTGATGTGAATTTAGCGCCCTTCAAAACTGGTGTGCTTTATTTTATAAACGTAAGAGCCGTTTGTTACATTGCAAAGTTAAATAACGCAAACGAACATTGCGAGGAAAAAAGTTACATTTTAATTTCAAACGCACATTTTTCTGTTAATTTAACAGGGTGTTTTTTTCTTATGAAATTGTGTCAGAACAATCTACATTTTGGTGTTCTAGAGTATTGAAAATGCATATAGTTCCTACTGTGTATTCCAACGCTTGGTTACAAGGTTTCGCTCGTGTTATAAAGATTTGAACGTCGTAGATTTCTAATGGATTTCATAAAAAAATTACACTGGTTGTAAAATATTCAAGTTTAAAGTCAAGATCTAGTAAATAACTTTAGACTATTTTTTGGTGCTAGATCCATTATGACGTCATAATCAATTTCAAGTGTCTTTTTCCCGTACTTTACGGCTTTAGCAGAATTATGTAGAAAATAGCGTATTTTTATGACATTCAATTTGAAATCATATGAAAAGAAAACCAGATACCAATATTTAATTTGATATTGATTTAAAGAAGAGGCCATGAACACACTAATTACCGTTTTTTGAGAGACTGTAGGCAATCTGGATACATTTCCTTTGTCGTATATGAAGAAAACTCCCATACTCATGACTGGTTTTCTTAATTTTTCATTAAAAATGACAGTTTAAAATACAGTTTTTCATCTTACCTACAAATTATGCCCCGAAACACCTTATTTGACCAAGCTTAAGTTGTAAAGCATCAATAAAGGAATTTATTTCTCAAATTTGATAAATCTGTAGGCACCTTTCATTTACTAGATCTTGACCTTAAATGGCATTCATTTCAGCTCTACTGGTCAGAGACCAGAAGAGCTTATGCGATAGTAATGCGTCCGTCGTCCGACCGTCTGTCTGTCTGTAAACATTTTTTTCAAAATACTACCCCTTCCTAGAGTTTTTGTCTGATTTCAATATAACTTTGCACACAAGTAGACTACACTAAGATACATAATTCTATTTATCGGTATTTGATTTCGATGGGAATGGTGTTGCCGTGGTTACTAAAAATAGATATTCTGTGAAATTCTTTCAAAATGCTACTCCACCCACAGTTTTGGTCTGATTTCAATATATTTTGGCACACAAGTAGACTACACTAAGGTATATAATTCTGTATATCGGTTTTTGATTACGGTGAACGGTGTTGCCGTGGTTACTAACAATAGAAATTCTGTGAAATTCTTTCTAAATGCTACTCCTCCTACAGTTTTGGTCTGATTTCAATAAAACTTAGCACACATATAGACTTCTCTGTTGATATAATGCTGTATAATATATTTGGAACAGGGTCGGAATTCGGGTCGGGTTCGGTGTACGATTTGTTTTGTAGTATGTGTATTGAATAAACGCATATTGTTGATCATTTTACGGCTATGTAATAATTATTCGTCCAGATAGCACGAATAACAATGGTGGCAGCGGTGTGTGGACTCTGAAAACGTCTCAGCGCCCCATATCGGCATACTTAAGGTGACTTTGAACATTACAAGCTAATATTTGTGCGGGTAAAGTTTGACTTTTTGTGCAACCACGTGCATCCGCCATTTGCATATATGAAACATGGGCGAAGCAGAACCAACCCCAGTGCAGGTATGTAACTGTTCTTTCGATTACCGCCTGAGTTAGAATTAACAACAGGAAATGTGTCAGAAAATTTTAAGAAACGGAAAAGGCAGGTCCAGGTGTATCTCGCAGCTTCCGGTGGCACAGAGAAGGCAAAAGAAGTGCAGATAGCAATAATACTCAGTTGTGGAGGCCCCCACGTGGTCGAAATTTACGACCAATTCAAGTGGGAAAATGCTAATGACAAAAATGAACCTGATAAACTGTTTCAGAAACAATCTTTTTGCAACCCCAGATCAAATGAAGTACTTGAATCACACAGATTTTGGAAGCTCCCATACCAAGATCCAATTCATAGTTTTCTCACAGATCTGAAGACCCGTGCAGCATCTTGCAATTTCAAAGAACCTGGCAGAATGATAAGAGACAAAATAGTGTTCCTGATTACAGAAAGTTACAGGAACTTCTACTACTAGAAGGACAAACTTACACTCGAAAGAACCATACAAGTTTGTAGGGCGTATGAACAATCGAACAGACAGGTAAAGGAGCTACGTGAAACCACTCTGAAAGTGAACAAGCTACAGAAATTTGACAAGTACATGCACAGTAAACAGAAGACGGAGAAAAAGAAGAAAATTCCAAAGACTAAACACACTCAATATAAGAAAAGGACTGTGAATTCTGTGGGTACAAACATAAACCAGGGAAACAAAGGTATCCAGCATGGGGAAAATGTTGTGAACAGTGTGGTGGAAGGAATCACTTCAAAGCAAAGTGCAGTAAGATACATTCAGTCCGTCAGTCAGAAGAATTCAACGAGGGCCAATAGGTGAAAACTCTGGTGGCAAAGAAGTGACCGCAATAATGTGTATCAATGTGTGTGATATTAGAATTGAACTTGATAGCGCCGCAGATTTGAATACAATCTCTCAGCGTTGTGTCTGCAAGGAACAATGCAAGCCTACCCAAATCCACTTGAACATGTGGAATAAGACAAACATGAAGCCACTTGGTGGGACAGATTTGACAGTCGTCAATCCACGTACAAATGAGAAACATCAACTCAGATTCATTGTCGTTCCAAATCATTTTACATATTTACTTGGACTTGAAGCAGTGACTTAGGTGATTTGGGAACAGCGCATCTACACGTCGACGCAAATGTGAAACCCAAAGCTCTTCCCTGCAGGAAGATCCCTATCACACTCCAGAGTTTGGTACGAGAGGAACTTCAAAAGCTTGAAGATAGAGGAGTACCTATTCCGATTACAGAGCCTACTCCATGGGTCAGCCAGAGGACTATTGCTCGTAAAGCCAACGGCAAGCTAAGATTGTGTATTGACCCACAAGCACGCAACACAGCGTTGATGAGAAAACATTATCGCTTACCTGTTCTCGATGACATTCTACCGCACCTAAGAAAGGCTAGAACCTTTACAAAACTTGACGTCAAGGAGGCTTTTTGGCATGTGAAGTTGGACGAGGAATCCAGTAGATTTACGACAATGATAACTCCTTTTGGAAGATATAGATGGGCAAGACTACCTTTCGGACTAAAGGTATCAAGTGAAATATTCCAGAGGAAACTCGATGAGGTATTTTGAAACATGACAGGTGTTTTCAGCGTGGTGGACGATATCATCATAGCTGGCTGTGGAGAAAACGACAGAGAAGCTGAGCAAGATCATGCTTTAAAATTGAGAAAAGTGTTAGAGAGATGTGAGGAAAGACACATCATCTTGAATAAAGAAAACAAGAGATTGGACTCAAAGAAATCTCATTTCATAGACATGTTATTTCCAGAGATAGAGTGAACATTGATGACAAGAAAGTAAAAGCCATCAATGACATGCAACCTCCTAATAATGTTTCTGGAATTAAGAGATTGTGTGGCATGGTCCAGTACATGCCAAAGTTCCTTCCACACCTTTCGACCATAAATGAGCCGCTCAGAGAACTTACTCACAAAGATAAGGCATGGCATTGGTCTAAAGACTGTGAAGCAGCATTTCAGAGGATCAAGAATATGCTGACAGAAACTCCTGTACCAGCTTACTTTGACCCTGGAAAGGAGGAAGTAGTACAAGTACAGTAGTAAAGACGGCATTGGTGCAGTTCTCTTTCAGGACGGTAGACCGGTGGAGTATGCATCTAGATCACTGACAGTGTCAGAAAGAAACTGGGCGCAGATCGAGAAAGAAGTGTTATCTGTGTTATACGGTCTGGAACGTTTTGACCAATATACATATGGCCGTGACCTTACGATACAGAATGACCATAAACCATTAGAGGCCTTCCTGACGAAACCTCTTGCAATGGCACCAACGTGATTACAGGACATCATGATGAGATGGAATCGGTACGATTTTGAATTTGTCTCTGTCAAGGGAACTAACCTTACAATTGCAGATATATTGAGTTGCGCATATCTGAAGAGTGAGGAAGGTAACTTTAGTTTGAGACTAAGAATCATGGCATTGAAAAGTGACGAACCATGTGGCACTCCTGATGCTCCCCTAAATGAAATTCAAAAGAAGCAACGGAGATTGACGAGAAAGTGCAAATTCTCAAGGAAACTGTGATGAACGGCTGACCAGAGCAGAAACATGAAACGCCACAGAGAATTCGCCATTACTTTGACTTTAGAGAAACTATATCATATAGTGATGAACTGATGCTCAAAGGGGAAGTTGTAATTATCCCTAAATCTCTGAGGAATGAAATGAAAGCTAGACTTCACAAGGCTCACTTTGGATATGATAGCATGCTGAGAAGGGCAAGAGGAACAATATTTTGGCCAGGGATGAATTCAGATATCAAGCAGTTGGCTAATTGTTGTTCAATATGTCAAGAGAGAAAACCAATGAACCAAATTGCTCCATTGATGCAGCATGCAGAGGGATCTACTCCATGGCAGAAAATATGACTTTATCTGTTTGAGCTGAATGGAAAGCATTATTTGATTGCAGTTGACTATTTTTTCTAGTTTCATCGAAATCAACTTGCTTACATCTTTGAAAGCTTCAGAGTAATAGCTTTACTCAAGAAACAATTTGCTCGATTTGGAATTCCAAACGTAATCATGTCTGATGGAGGACCACAGTTTGTAAGCCAAGAATTCCAAGAGTTTGCAAAGAAGTGGGGTATCACTCACATGACATTATCGCCTATGCATCAACAGGCCAATGACAAGGCGGCGTCAGCTGTTAAAATCATGTTAAATCATGTGAAGGAAATGTGAAGTGGAGAAGACTGATCCTTATAAAGCAATTCTTGAACAAAGAAATACACCAAAAAGGAAACTGGTATTAATTAGTCCTGCAGGAATAATGTTTAACAAAAAAGCGTGGCATGATTCCACATTTTCTACAGAAACTGGAGAAAGCAAAACTGATGCATTCATCAGGAAGAGGAATCACTGCAGACAGACAGTAAAGAATCATTTGACAGGAAGTCTCATGAGCAGAGTGAATTGGACGTTGGTCAAGCAGTATTCTTCCAGCATCTAGAGGGACGCAACTGGAGACTCGGGGAAATCAATGGTATTCTCGGACCAAGGACATACATTGTCAAGGACCAGAATGGAACCACTTACCGTAGAAACAGAATTAATGTGCGACCTACCGCAGTTAACTTCTACAGTCGTGACCGCTCACCGATGCGTTCAGTCCCAGATGATAATTCAGACGGCATACAGAGAAACATTGTAACAGACTATAAGCCAGTGAATAATCCGAACTTTATCGTTAGCGTAAGCGCACCAGAAACACCGTCCGCTGAACTTAACGTACCAACGCCAAATGAACCGCTCCGTGAAGGAAGACCTGTTCGCGAAAGGAGAAATCCAGCCTATCTGAAAGACTTTATTACTGGATAATGGATTTTGTATTATGAAATTAAGTCAAGTGATTTTCTAGTCATCTGTGTACATGTAAATTGCACTTAATCTTTTTGTGTTTATAGTTCAGATACTTACCATTTCATGACTGACATTTTGTGCTAGATAAGTGCATTATTCATTTTATGTGTGTAAAATGATGGAAGTTTATTTTGTTTATGAAATTTGATGTTTTGATGAAATTTTGACAAATTTTCTAAAGAAAAGGGGATGTAGATGAAATGCTGTATACTATATTTGGAACGGGTTTGGAATTCAGGTCGGGTTCGGTACAATTTCTTATGTTGTATGTGTATTGAATAAACGCATGTTGTTGATCATGTCACGGCTATGTAATAATTATTTGTCCAGATAGCACGAATTAACATACACTAAGATACATAACTTATCAAAATATGTCCGTTGTATGCAAAAAATAACATAGTGACAGACCGGAGAGTTACAGTAACTGTTTTACACATTGAAAAAAGTGTGTATTTATTGCGAACCAAAAAAGTGCTCTGTTCTTCGATTTATTTTTCAAACTGCCATCTCAAAAAAAAAATATACTTGCCATATGTTCTTAACTTATTCTTTTACTATTTTCGCAACAAAACGCGTACGTTCCTTATAACAATGATAACCTTTGTTAATAACCTTCATGGGCCTGAAATTGAGGCCATCGAATATTTTGCCTATTTATTTTGCTTTTTGGGGGGTTAGGCAATTCGTTTCGACGCAAATCATGTTGATATCAAATATGAGAGTAGTTGATAGAAGTTCAAGGAATATTCTCAAATTGACCTTTTGTACATTGTATACATTTACTTTACGAGGTTGAAGAAATTAATTCAAAATCGAGCGCAGCTTTTTGTGCGCAATAAATATACACCTTTTTTTCTCTGGATGGCATTGTATCCCTCTGGTCATCCATACCATTTTTTTCAGACCTGTAAGATTCAGATCTGATGCTATCCGTTGTAGTGAAAAGTATCAAAAAGAATTTGATGAAATCCCATCGAAATTGAGGAAGATCAGTAAAATGTACATGGCCTACTCTTATGGCCTCCCTCGTACTTGTTGAATGAAAATTATTGTTAATTAGTTGAAAACAAGCGAAATTTACAGCTGTTAACTAAACTAAGACAATTTTAATTTTGCGTTTTAATTTTTTTACATTAAATGTTGGGGCAAATTCTGCCGTTACCGTTCCTTCTTTTTATTTTCTTTTTCAGTATTGGTGATCGTTCTATGAGCTAATGCTTTATTGCCATTATATGATATATTTTCTAAACATTTCATAATACGTTGAACTTGAATAATATCCGTTTTTTTTATATGTATTATAGTCTGGAAGATTTTTGCATCCACTTTCCATCATATATAATCAACACATACTTTATTTTGAAAAACATGAGCATTTTCAATGCTGCAATAAATTATTTGATGAATTGAACAACTTACAACAACATTATATTTTGTAAAAATAAGGACAATAAACTGCGCGGCAGGGTTAATACTGTAAATAAACTTAGTTAACTAGAAAGTTTACGTCGTTAAATGAATAAACACGTATTAATACATATTTCCATTACAACGTTGATTCACAACACCTCACCACTGGTAAAGAAGTGTCTGTATTGACACGGTATATGAACATTTCCGTTACCATCATTTTACTGCTAATAATTTCGATATTATTTTAAAAACTTAGAAACGGACTGTAATCAATATGAAATAAAAGTGAAATAAATGATTTTCTTCTGTCTTTAGTTTTCTTCACCGATATATCTGATAATTTTTATTTTCCCAGACATTGCGTCTCCCACAACCAGGTATCCATCGACATCAATACTAAGTCCCCCACTACAACGGTGTTCTAAATACCGGAGAAAGACGCCATTACAGTCAATAACGTGCACTGTGTCGTTCGCAATGTCACTTACAAGGATTTGATACTCGACATCAGTAGCAATGTAACATGGTTTAAAATCTGATTCTTCTCCATTGTTAGGATAAGTACCTTTATAATTAAACCGCAATCTTCCTAGTCCATCCAGCACAACGACTTTTCTCCCGCCATAATCAACGATACATATATCTCTATTTCTATTCTCTGCAAGATGGAGTGCAGCCCTAATATTAATGGAAAATAAAGCTTCCCCTTTGTTGTCGTATTGAATAGTTTGAATTTCTTCCTCATCTGCGTACTTGACGACTCTGCTTTGATCCGTCCTCAATGAACGCATGCTTATCATCATATCACCATTCATTGTGCAACACACACCAACTGCACACCATGCGTTAAGTTCTATTAATGTTTGAATTCTATTATTTTTTAATGTGTACACTTTCGTTTTTGGGAAGACATGTGCAAATATAGATTCTTTTTTTACATTGCTTGCCAGTACTAAAAGACTGTGCTAATTTTATGTAGAACAGTCCCAATTCTGTTGATTCTCTGGACTAGACGATTACTTCCGCTAAGCCATATCTCTGATCCGATGCAATGCAAATTTTCAAGCTTGGAGAAGTTTCCAAAATCGGCATACGGACTTTGAATACTATGAACAGATACATTGTGCATGAAACAAAAAATTGTCAGAAGTGCATCTACACCAACAAATCCAGGTTGAAACGTTGGACAGTTACTTTTTGGCTCTGGAACTGAACGGAAGTTTTGGTTCTTTGTCTCATATCCCAAAAGTGCCGTGGCATCACTGGAACAGAGGACGTTGTTGTTTTTTTCAATCAGTTCATAAAGCTTTTCTTTAGTGTCGGCTATCAAGGCTAAGAAGTCGTTATTTATCAGCTCTCTTTCTTGTTTCTTTTTGTTAATTTCAACAACCGATTTATTTCCTATTTCGCGCACAACCATGCTTAATTTTTCTTCTTCATCTCTTATTACATCTATAAATGTATCAAACTTGGCAACTGATGACGCCTCATCGATATTGTTGTACATTAGGATTATGATATCACGAAGTTCTGCAGTATCATCAAAAATTTGCTGCCTACGATTCTTCAGGACTTCATCAAGACTCAAAAAAGAGTGATGCCTGTGCTTACCTGTAACGCAATCTACGCATATAGGGATCTGACAATCATCGCAGAAAAACTCACATCGTTTTACATGATGAACCGTGCATTCTAGAGACTTCGGCACCTTTCTTCTAGATTCAAACTCAACCACTTCGTGTTTTCTTGAATTGTCAGCCATATGCACAGGGATGCACTTAGCACAAAGGTCGAACTTACACAAATTGAAGTGAAATTGAACAGGCATGGGACATAAACGACACCGAACGATATCCTGTCCTTAGAATAAAGCCATGTTCTTTTTTCTGAAATTACAAGATCCTAAAATTCAAAAGCAAAACTGAAGACAAATTGAATAATATTTTATCAGATTGAGGAGAGAACTAGAATTTTGATAACCGACAAAAATAGAGCCAGAAATAGGGTCCATGTGATTTAGATTTGGACAAAGTAGACACAAAACATAAGGATGTCCAGCAAACCTAGGTCGAAGAAGCCGAAAAGTACAGGGGCCAGACACTAATCTTTCATTTTATTTTCAACTTTTAAAGTCCTTTTTTAAACTTTGAATTAAAAATGAAAATCTATGCCGTTATACGAATTCATTTTACATTTAAATATATTATTACTTAAGGAAGGATTCTTCCCTAATCTCTGAGTAGATGAATTATTCAAAGTAAATTTGTGTGTTTGTCATATATTTAGGTGTAAGAGATTTAAAAGACCATATGAAAATATCTTCTTTTCTGCCTCTCAAAATTATTATAGAACATTGGTTTTAGTTAAAATTTTTATGCAATCAAAGATTAGACAAAATTTTCAAATGTAAGACAAATTAATAACAAGAAAACATTGATGTTAACATCAATTGTCGCCCGGGAAATATATAAAGTAAACTATGAAAATGAGTCTTGATCAACAAACCGCTTCGATATATGTTAAAAGACATGCATCTTATTAATGGAGACGATAGTTGCAAATATTTTTAAAAACTTGTAGTCGGATAAAAATCAATCAAAAACGATGCCATTTTAAACTTGATCAATCCCTCAAGTAAATGTTGGCTGCATAAAATATAAAATGAAGTTAGACACATGCATCATTTATATTTAAAAATGTATTTATTTTCAGTTTTAGAATATAAAAACCGAACTGTGCAGAGAACGTTTTTATACAAGCAGTAAAATTTGATGTTCTAAAAAAAGGGACCTGTCGTTGTTACGATACTAAATGATAAGTAACTTTATATATTAAATATGAAAAACATATATATTTTTACCGATTCACTTTATGAAAGTAAATATATTACTTATATTATATATCTCGTAATTTATACACGGAAAGAACATTCTGATTAACAATCTTTTCAATGTTTAGAAAACCTTTAATTCTATATAGCTACTCCCACCCCAATCCCCATACACCAACACTTAAGAACAGATGATACAAACAATTTTTTTCTTTGAAAAAGATTAAATATCAAGTCACAAGTTTAGAAAAGTGGATGTTTCTTAGATTTTGTTCTCCTAAGAACTGGAATATGAAAAACACTTGGTAATAAGTAATATTTCAATGAAATAACAAATATAGACAAATCACATTCAGTAAAGGTTTACAGGTGAAAACAAATTTCAGAATATGTTATCTTGGTGCTTAAATTGCAATATAAACTGAAGAAAAATATACCAAGCCAGGTGAATTTTATTAGGAAAAGCTAAATTGTAAAAATCAGCCTATGTGATATTGCTAATTTTTTTTCATTTTGTTCCTCCTCTTAAAATTCACCTGGCTTGGTATATTTTTCTAAGGTTTATACTACACTTTTAGCACCAAGGTAACATATTCTGAAATTTGTTTTCACCTGTAAACCTTTACTGAATGTGATTTGTTTATTTTTTTTTTCATTGAAATAGTACTAATATTTTCCTAGTCTATTTCATTTTCTAATTCTTAGGAGAAAATATTCTAAGAATTATCCACATTTCTTAACTTGTGACATGATGTTATATTTTTTTCAAAAAAAAAATTGTTTGCATCATCTGTCTTTGAACTTATATGTATAGAGCAGCCCGGTCCTCCGGGCTGCAATAGGGGACTTAATTTCAAAATATATCAAATAAATTAGATTTTCACACATACTAGAACTATGTTGGCTATTAAATGCTTCCAATATAAGTACAGATTTGAGCCAAAAATCTGTAAAATATGATATTTCTCACTTAGTAAACGATCAAAAGTTTTAGTTTTTGTATCATTTTGTACCTTTATGTGACAACTTTCCTATATGTGAAAATGAGAAAAAGTTAAATATATGAAGCATATGAAAATAACTTATATATCCTAAAAATTTAAGAAAAGTAGATAAAATTGATTAGTAATATCCGTTTTATTTAAATTATTAATATCATGTTGGTAACATCATCTTAAACCATTAAATCTTTTGAATTACAAGTAATGATCCCATGATTTGAAAAAGTAAATTTTTATTCTTAATGTCTAGCAAAAAGGCTATGACCTTGACCTGACCTTGCTTCTAATATTAAACGGTCAAATTTAATACCATCACTTAGTGATATTGTCCTCTTGATTCTGTGAAAATTTCATTAACTTTTAAATATAAAAAAATGTGAGAAGAATCCTACCTTAATATGTTATTTTAATGATTTTTTATACAAGTTTGCTCTTTTCACCTGTTCTTAGTAACAACCAAAGAAAGCATTCTATTGTTTAACGTAAAAAATGATCTTTATAAAAAATTATATAAAGGTGTTTGCAATAAACTATTTAATTTTTGGAATAAAGCACCGATTTCCGTCAATATTTTTTCATCTTTTTTATCAAGCAATATGTGCCCGAAATAACACGCCATACAAATAACTCAGATTTTGGTAACGTACCACGAATCAATGAGACGCTTGATTTTTCTACAGTGGTGTAAACACCACATATTTTAGGGTGAGTTTTGACACAGATAAGTGAAGTACACCATTTTTTTTTTTTTTACTAAAGAAGAGATTAGGCCGTATTATTATTAAATCATAATAAAAGTAAGCTGAAAGTTTTGTTAATCGATTTTATTTGATTACGAATCGGTAAGTAATATGAATCCTTGATGATTTTTTTTAAATATGTTACCTTAAGATATTAGGGAAAAAATTCATACTTACTTGTTTGGGTCTTGAAAGGAAAATTATTAAGGTCTTCCGTCTTCACGGAAGACCTTCTAGTGATTCTACTGTTTCTTCTTCTTCTTATTATTATTATTTTTTCCCCAAAATTTTGTGCAGGCGATTTCTCGAAAACTGTTCAGTGGTTTTCAATGAAACTTTCAGGAATTATGCGTCATTATATGAAGTTGTGGCATGACAAGGAAAATTTGGAATACTCACCTTCGGTTCCAAGATATTGACAGTTTTCTGATTTTAAAACGGATTTTTGTTCCCCCTTTGTTTTCAAAAATGGATTAAGATATTAACTGGAGACTTATTAGAGATGATAGATGATCACTTCTAGATTTGTGGAATTACCTCTTTGTGCGTCGTTTCTACTTCCGGTTGCTATCGGAAGCGAAATTAAAAAGTCCGTATTTTCTAACTTTTTTGTTTTTCAATATTTTTCATTTATTTTTGGAATGCTAATAGAAACCTTTCTTTTAATGCTCACTGTATCATTTGTTTGAATATTGATAAATCCAAACTCTAGATATTAACATTTAAAAATCTGAAGCGGGTCCAAAATGGCGGCTGTCTCTGTCATTTCCGACATTTCGCAGTTCAGGGTTTACGAAGTCAGCCGAGCGTTTGCTTGAATGAAAGTAATATAGGATAAATGAAGTGTAAAGGAATACTTGGATTCTCACGTCGTTGTTACGTTATAATTCTGTGTCAAACTATGATTTAATCCTTGGTCGTCTGAAACGTCTTCTATAATTGGTTTTGGCTGGTTCTCAAAGTAGAAAAAGAAAAGACTAAATGTGCAAATGAAATGCGATACCTAGTAATAGTTTTTAAGAAACAATATGGATGTACATAGTAAGTATTAAACGTAACCACTGTTTTGCACATGCGGACTTGTGTCATATTCAAACTATAGAAAAGAAAAAAAAATATAAGAAAATCATTTTTCAAAATATCGTTGAATGGAGTTCATATTAACATTCTTGTCTCAAAGATCTGATTTAAATTATTGAACATAAATGTTATCTGATTCCCTGACTGTAGTAGGCATGCTTTTATCAATATGTTCTTAGTGGGGATGAACAGGAAATTAAAAATAAAAGGGTAAAAAGTTTACCAGATTCACTGATTTAGTATTATTTATCTATATACGATATGGAATGTGTAAATATGCTAAATATACTTTCTTAATCTTGAAATTTAAGCTATAAGAACGTTCTTGTTTCATTTCCATCGACGCTATCGCACCTATTTAATGGAACATTCCAAAGAAAAAGCGCGAAGATTTACTCGTGGTGTTTGACACAAAATTATTAATAGTGACCTGCCTTTCATTGTTCGAAAACTCATGTACTGTTGCAGAAGTATATACAAGTACATTTAGAGCTTTGGTTCTTATAGAGTAATAGTAAGCGGTTTGGATTTTCATGCTAACGACCCGGGTTCAATGCCCTTTGTTTTCATAACAAGTTTTATCACTTTTTTCAGCTCAATTTTGCGGGGTTTTTTTCAGAATCGGGCGGAAGACCTCTCGTTGCTCGCAACGAGTTTCTTTTCTAGTTATATCTCTTATTGGGATTTGTCTTCGCAAGTCGGATGGCTGTAAAGGCAAAGTTTAAGTCCGCGATTTCCTTTTATACTTGAATGATAAGGAAAATTTAAAAGGTTATCATCGATTTCTCGGAAAAAAAGGTTTACCACTTAGGTATGAAGTTAAAACATGTGCAATTTTTATTGAAACCTTGTTTGTTTAAAGGATTTATATCACAGGTAGAGATTTATCTGTTCTTCCCATTGTTTACATAAAACAGATTCCAAGAAAATTGATTATTGTGAAAAATTTATGTTTAGAATTCCTCGTATTCCTGAGATTGATCACTTTATATATGAAAAATTAGTAATCTAAAAGTTATAATAATTTTAACATGGGTTTTCATAATGCATGTTGATACTAGTATTTCCTTCTGTGATTTTAACGTTTTATATCTGCAGCTAGTCCTAAAAT